TTATAACAACTAAATAGGTTAGTCTGGATTGAATAAGAAATCAACTAATTGTTTGTTATAACAACTAAATAGGTTAGTCTGGATTGAATAAGAAATCAACTAATTGTTTGTTATAACAACTAAATAGGTTAGTCTGGATTGAATAAGAAATCAACTAATAATTTTAGTGCAATATTGAAGTAATTGAAGTTCGATGAAATAAAAAATCTGTATTTTGCTATAATAAAAGAGCTTGTGAATAGGTGAAATAAAAATAAAATAAGATCTGTAGTGATTCTTTTATAACACCTGAGGATGACTTGGACATGAGGAAATTAAATGTCAACAGGTGCATGGTTATTCTATCATGGAAGTGACTGGAATAAGAAGTTACCTATTAATTAATGGTGTGCTGTGACTTTTGTAGCAAGGCATGCAACAACAACATCAAAGATGGTAGATAAAAACATTTTCTTATAACATACATTTTTATATGTATATATGTCTTATACCTACTTTCAAGGCCAACAATGACTTGAATAAGAATACTATTGTAGTCTATGATTGGATCAAGAATACAATTGTAGTCTATGACTGGATCAAGAATACTGTTGTAGTCTATGATTGGATCAAGAATACTATTGTAGTCTAGGAATGGATCAAGAATACTATTGTAGTCTATGATTGGATAAACAATACTGCTGTAGTCTATGATTGGGTCAAGAATACTATTGTGGTCTATGATTGGATCAAAAATACTGTTGTAGTCTAGGACTGGATCAAGAATGCTGTTGTAGCCTATGATTGGATGAACAATATGACATGCCCACCAATGGGTTAGTGGTAAGTCTGATGGCTTATAACACTAAAAATTGGATTTAGATACTCGTGATGGGCACAGCACAGATAGCCCTTTGTATAGCTTTGTGCTTAACAACAAACAAATTCTTCTAACTCTTGAGTTACTGGTACTGGGTGATTTGGTTTGGTTTGAATTTCGTGCAAAGCTACACGAGGGTTATCTTCGCTAGCCGTCCCTAATTTAGCAGTGTAAGACTAGAGGGAAGGCAGCTAGTCATCACCACCCACCACCAACTCTTGGGCTACTCTTTTACCAACAAATAGTGGGATTGATCGTTACATTATAATGCCCCCACAGCTGAAAGGGCGAGCATGTTAGGTGTGACAGGGATTCGAACCTGCGACTCTCAGTTTGCGAGTCGAGTGCCCTAACCACCAGGCCACGCTGGGCCCTGGGTGTTTTAATTAATAAACTAGTTAGTACCTTTTCAATGAGACTCATGTAAAACGAGACAGGAATGAATGAGATTTTGATATAAACTTGCTTGTTGAAACGTTTGAATGTAATAAACAGGACTACTACCCCTAGTTGAATTTTTTATTACATATAAGAGATAGATACTAAGTTAAATAACAAGATCAGCAGGTAATCATTTGATGTACCTTTTGGAGGAATCTGACTGGTTGTTGTTTTGATAACTCCTGAGTGTTTGGGATTGGATGAATTAACAAGTTAAACTGTACTTGTTTGTTATGATACATCTGATAAAATATAACCTGCCAACCATACAAATCTTGAGAGATTATACAAATCAAAAACTCAACAGCTAGCTGGTTATTATATCATTTGAATGGTTTGGTCTGGATGTAAAAAAAGAAAAAAAAATAGTATCAGATAATTGCTTGTTTTACAGTTCAATTTAAAATCAACTTTATAGTATTATGTTGCTATACCAAATAGTTTATATAAATTCATAAACAGAGATATGCTTTTATATCATACCAGTTTTTAGTTTATTTTTCTTAACAACGTTAAGGGTAATTATAGTATTTTGGCACTAGTGTATAAAGTTAATATCATAAATAATATTCAACGGTAAACTGGTACACAATTATAAAAACATTTTATTTAGGCCTATGTATGGCCTTCAAAAAGTTGACGGCTCTGCATGTTTCGACGTTACAACTCCTGAGGATGACGTTATAACGTCGAAACATGTAGAGTCGTCAACTTTTTTGAAGGCCATAGATAGGCCTAAATAAAATGTTTGTAATTGTATACCAGTTTAACGTTGAATATTATTTATGATTTAACGTTAAGGGTACTTATTAAGAATAAGAAACTAGGTACACGTGGTTTACATGGTATGGTCTGGTGGTTAGGGTGCTCGACTCGCAATCTGCAATTCACGAGTTCGAATCTCGTCACCAAACACGCTCGCTCTTTCAGCTGTGGGGGCATTATGATATGACGGCAAATCCAACTTTTCATTGGTAAAGACAAGCCCAAGAGTTGGCGGTGTGGTGTTGACTAGTATTATGTAGTATTTAGTTCACCTACTTGGATCATCAGAGACGAAGTAGAAGTTTTATAAATGCCCTAAGTGTTCTGATAAAGTTGCTTGTCAGTAGAATCACATCTGTTTACTATTTATGTGAAAAACTTGAGCCGTCAGTTATTGGTATTTTGAACGTATGCTTTTTAAAGAACTTGGAAAACAGAAAATTGAAATGCAAAGTGTATTGAAACGTGGATTTGGAGATCAGAAAACTAACTAGAAAAACCAATAATAATAAAGTTTTAAGCCATTAAGACAAACAAATCTGTTTAGGCTAAGCTAGCTGCCTTAGTTTTCTAGAAAATAATGCTAATACAAAGGCTTAATTACACCGCGGGCCAAGAAATCCATGCAAGAAAGAGGCTTAGAAAATCCAACCAGGTTTCATTGCTGTCAGTATATATATATATACTTATATGTATAAAGATATGTACCATTAACCCAAATTTTGACTTTATATTAATGAGCAACAATCAAATAATTATGCCAAAACTTTTTTTTTCGTGAGCAAAATATTTACCAATGGGCAGTCACATACCTGTTTCGTATCCCACTGTAGTTATGGCCAGGTGGTTAGGGCGCTCGACTCGCAATCTGAGGGTCGCCGTGGGGGCGTTATAATGTGACGATCAATCCCACTATTCGTTGGTAAAAGAGTAGCCCAAGAGTTGGCGGTGGATGGTGATGACTAGCTGCCTTCCCTCTAGTCTTACACTGCTAAATTAGGGACGGCTAGCGCAGATAGCCCTGACAAATAATCACTACAAGTAATATCTGAAGATAAACAGTCACTACAAGTAATATCTTAGTCAAATAAAATAATAATAATAACAAAAAACAGTCACAACGAATGAGTAACAAGTTGAGGCAAAACATCAATGTGACTACTGAACTTTACAAACTTATGCGATAAAGATAGTAAACTGATTATTAACTGTTATCCCCTTTAATTCCCAACAGTGTTAGCTATCAATATTCCACATAAGTCATTGTAATTTCTGTGTGTAGTGTCTGAACAGATAAATATAAATAACGAAACATTAAATAGCCAAATTTTTTATATATAACACATGTCAACT